TACAGCTTTCTTGAAGGTTAATACTATTCCTTATCCATTTTTTTTAAGTTTCTTATTGCCCGGAGTTTGGCTCGTGGTAAGCACATAATAAATGATTTATAGATTAATGGATCACTAAGTCTTGACCATTTCAATAACTTTGTGAGCAGTAACCAGTTTCTTTCAGCTCAGAGGCTTCCTTCCCAAGGTTTCTCCTTTATTCATGTTTCTCCACCTTGGTGCCCTGGTTCTCATCTCTTGGCTGACCACCTAACGATGTGTTGCAAGCCTAAAACCAGAACTGGATTCAAATATTTGCAAAAAATCTTACACATATGGCAGGGCGCAAAGGCTTCATAGGAGTATGGTGGATCAAAAAAAACAATACATTTACCACATAATACACAAGGGATTTAATGTAAAGATTGCCACCATTGTTTACTTTCGGAATTAACCAGAAATATTATTTTTCAACAACTTCCTGAGATCATGAAGGAAATGGTTAAGTGTGATAAGCGTAGGAAGAGGGAGAATGAAAGGTCATTTTGCAGCGTAAGGTTACTGTAGAGGAAGCGTAATGGCATTTTAAAGCAGAGGAGTTTGGGTAAGTAGATGACAGTACGACAAGACTGACAGCATGGTCGCACTGGGAATCTAGTGATTTGGGGCAGGGAGTATCAGCACATGAAAGAGAGGCAGGCGCACAGAAAAGAGTTTAGTAAGAAGCACCATAGATAACCCTCACTGTTTAATCTTGTTTAGGACTAGCCCTTACCATCTGTGAAAACCCACGGGCAAAATGAATCTGCCATTCGACACATATTCCTGTTAACTTCAAGATGACTGCTGCAGACACAGATGGGACACCTCACACATGTGAGTCCTTGCTCTGTAGAAAGGAAAGTGTGCAAAGGTACTTTGTGACATGAGCAGCTGTGCTTGCACACAGCTTGGAAGGGCATATGCGAATCAGTCACCTTTAATGTTTTGCGTTTTAAATGTTGCACTCTTACTATGCTGTCTCAGCATAATACAGGAATCCTCCCAGTTTTTCTTTCTACTTTGATTTTACCTATATGTAGGAAAAGGTACGCCAAAACGAACAAGGTACGGTTCAATATCGAGAACATCACACTTGAAGTGGCTGGGAGGTGGCCTCCAATTAAGGAGTGCTGAAATAGAGTCCTCAAACCTGAATTCTGTTCTCAACTCTGCCCTTATTGGCCAGATGACCTTGAGTAGGTCCACTGGCTTTCTTGTGTCTCTAGTTTCTTCTGTTTTAAATAAGGACATGGTGCAGATAATCCCTAAGGTATTCTGCAGTTTTAACAACATTGCACCATTATTCAAAAAGTTAGAGATGCTAAGAGAACATGGGAGTTTGGAGTCAGCCAAATCTGAGTTAAAATTCTCAAACCACCATTGAGTGAACCTGCGAAAATTATGTTGCTCTCTACAGCTCATTTTTCATCTGTGAAATGGGAATACTATTGCTGACCTTGCAGATTTCCTGCGATCATCAAATGAAATCAAATGGGAGGCTGGCTGTGCATCATCTTGTGTGTAGACGATATTGATAAATGAGGGTTATTATTGGAATATTTTTATAGGAAGGGGGAAATCTCGTTTCCTACAAAAGGCATGCCAAACGGGACGCTGAAGTTATTGTTTGCCTTCCTCATCTGTGAGAGTGTCTATGAAATGAAATTAGCACTGCGTGTGTGTGTGTGTGTGTGTGTGTGTGTGTGTGTACCTCATGGGATTCAAGTGTTGCTAAGGCAACCACTAATTTAGAAATCAGAGTACCTAAATAGTTTCACAGAATGTATAGTTTCCTTTAACAAATTGGATTCCAATGATGGGCACACCTTCCCTTCCCCTGCTGCTCTGTACCCCCGTTAGTTTTGTGCACCTGCAGCTATGTGTGCCAAGGGCCGCTTTCATCTTCTGCCAAGGACACTTTGAAGGTAACAGCCGGGAACGCAGATCCCTAAGGTCTGTCAGCTTTACCCCGTCTTTACCTTTTGTACTTTGTCAAGTTGGAGTCACATTTCTTGACTCCCACAGTAGGTCACGGAAACAGCTTCTTGGCACATTCGTGTAATAGACTTCTGAGCAATGATGCCATGCAGTTTGCAGGCATCACGCTCTGCCTTCTCTTGTTCACCTTGAAACTCTCCTATTTCCCCTACACACGCATATGAATTCCTGCAGAGAAGGAACCTATTATTGAGCCAGCATTGCCTCGCCTGCTACATTCTTGTGTTAAATTAGTCCTCTTCATTGTTGCAAATAACAGGCGACCACTTATATATCAATAAAAATTCACGGCACTGCTGCGGGGTTATTTCTGTCCTCGATACATGACACATTCCTGCCATTGTTTATAGGCTGTAATTTTAAGTCTCTATTGCTGTATTTTAAATCTTTTCTTTTGGGAGGGGTGGCCAATCCCCCTCATGTACTTAGCATATTTTCTCCATGAATCCTTTGGAACAATGGGACTTTAACAGTGGCATCTTGTTTTTTCCCTCCAAAGTAATTCTTCGTGTTGGCTTTTGCTTTTGAATATGCCAGTAGCAAAGCATGAACACAATACTAAAAATTCACAGAAGCATGCTAATTACCTTCCTTAAAAATATGAAAGAAAATGTATGATTATTTGTTCTTTTCTGGTTAACTCCTGAAATCAAAGCTTCGCTAGATGTTTCACAGCTGCGCTAGGAAAAGGCTTGGCCATTCACTTTCATTGAGGTTAGGCAGCTTATGTAGACTGTCACCCTTAGAACTTGAAATAACTCTGCAAAGTAGGTATTCTGATGTCCATTTTACTATTGAGGAAACTGATTGGAATTTTAAAAGATCTTATGTTTAAAAAAATATTCAATCTGAAAATCTCATATATTTCTGCCGTGTACCAAAATTACTGATACAATCCATTAAATATATATATATATATTTTTATATATATATGTATAAATATATATATATATATAAATATATATATATAAATAATATAAATATATATATATTTATATATAAATATATAAATATATATATATATATAAATATATATATATATATATAGCAAAGTATACATTGTACATAAAATAAAAAACATATGTATTTAGTTTACAGAATAATGGTACAATGGACACACATGTACTTGCTACTCCCTTAAGAAAATGAACCTGCTATTCTGGGCCTGTGGGCCGTCAGATTTACTGCTCTGTATCAGTAAATACAGAGTGATGGCCCATGCAGGTTGCATTACTCTAGTTTTCTTCCTCCTGTGTTAGGTCAGTGTGAACCACAGCGAGGTGTTGGAAGGCAGGGGGAATGTAGAAACCAGGGTATCTTCTCCCCCCTCATCCCCACTCCACATCTTGAAGGCTTCCCTGACAGCGACTGTGTATTCTCCATGGCTCTTGGACAGGCCGGTTCAGGATGGGCTCTGGTCATACCACCTCCTCCATGTTTCTCATAGGCCTAGAGATGATAGTGGATTCCTGCTTTTGCTAATTTCTGGCTTACCTTACTCCTGTTCAGTTTCTCAATTCTGCCATCACCTATGTCAGTAATTTCTGATTAATTTTTCTGTAATGCAAATACTTGAAGTGGTTTCATGTTTTCATGTTTAGATACTGATTAATTTTCCTTAAAAGCCTCCTGTGGTCCTCCTTGATCACCCCTCTTATCCAACCCCAGGAGTAACCGCTATCCTGATTTTCAATTTTAGCATCCTCTTGATTTTCTTTATTGGTTTTACTGCTTCTGTATTCTTAAACTGTAGTTTTTACTTTTGTCAGTTCTGTACTTTATATAAATGGAACCATACAGTATGTTCTCATATATAACTTGCTTTTTTTTCCCAACACTGTTTTTGAAATTTGTGCATATTGTATATGCCGAAGTTGATTAATTTTCTCTCAAATATAGTATTCTATATGAAATAGCACAATTTATCTCTTCTACTATTGATGGGTTTTTGTCTGTTTCCAGTTTTAACTCTTATAAACATGTTAGTATGGACGGTACTTACAATCCCACCAGCAGTGAACTCATGCCCTAGTTATTCCACATCCTAGCCAGTGGTTGGTTTTATTGAGTATTAATAATTCAAATGAGGGCCGGCCGAGTGGCTCAATGGTTAAGAGCTGGCTTGGGACACCAGAGGGCCCTGGTTTGGATCCCACATATGAGGGCCAGTGACACTGCCCTCTACAGCTAAGATGCTGAACAACAGCTCGACCTGGAGCCAGGCTGCTGTGAGTTGCCAGCAATGGCATAGGCTGCAGTGGGCTGCCATGGGCTACCGTGTGTAGCCAGCAGCCAGCGTGAGCGGCCAGCAGCCGCTGTGAGCGGCCGTCCAGAAGCCGGCGACTGATGTGCCTCGCCTGGGAAAAGCGCAATGATGGTGCCAACTTGGGCCAGTGAAGCAACATTCTCCACAACTAGACTGAAGAACAAAAGGACAACAACTTGTGTGTTCCCCTTCCCCTAATTCCCCAGCGCTGTTCCCATCCCCCCAATTCTCCAAAAAAGATCTTTAAAAAAAAAATCAAATGAAAATAAAATCTACATAACGTCGCAATAAGCTATTTTCTGTACTTTCTTACAGTCAGATAGTCTTGTGTTGATACTTTTGCCTATCATGCAAGCAAATGTTAGCATTTCTATAGTATCTATGTATAAAACTATAGTTTATTTGTAGATAACAAGACCCCTATAGATCTTAAAGTCAACTTTTCATTTTATGGAGTTAGGTAATTTGCTAAGGATGGCCAGTTAGAGGACAAAAGCATGCAAATTTGTGACTAGATCTCATGTTCGATTGAGGCCCCAAGATGAAGAGAAAGAAACAATAAGGGGCAAACCATTCCAAAGTGAGGTTCTAGGCCACTTACTCATAACTTGCTGAGGAGATGCCCCAAACTGGTTTTATAACTTTTAGTCCAATGGCCCCTTGAGGGACTAAAGTGCTGAGATCGAAGGGTTTAAAAAAAAAAACATTTCTGGTGAGGGAAGGCAGGGGGGAAGGGATAGTCAGTCGCAGTCCGTGCTGGTTTGCCGTCGCTGCTGCCACCATTGTGCTAGCCCCTTGGGTCTCAGCGAGGCCAGGTGACACTCCAGAATGGGAGACAAGCCAATTTGGGAGAAGATTGGATCCATCTTCATTCAACATTACTACCAGTTATTTGATAATGACAGAACCCAACTAGGCGCAATTTACATTGATGCATCATGCCTTACGTGGGAAGGACAGCAATTCCAGGGGAAAGCTGCCATTGTGGAGAAGTTGTCTAAACTTCCGTTCCAGAAAATCCAGCACAGCATCACCGCGCAGGACCATCAGCCCACACCAGATAGTTGCATCATCAGCATGGTTGTGGACCAGCTTAAGGCTGATGAAGACCCCATCATGGGGTTCCACCAGATGTTCCTATTAAAAAACATCAACGATGCTTGGGTTTGCACCAATGACATGTTCAGGCTTGCCCTGCACAACTTCGGCTGACCTCCTCCCAGCCAGGCATTCATGCTGTTTTCTCCTCCCTCCTCTTCCCTATACTATTCACACTCCTCCAGATGCTCCAAATATACACAAACGAGCAGGGCTGCGGTGGGAGTGGGCACAGTGCGCTGCTGCTACCGAGGTATTGTGCATGATATTTGGATGCTAGACTAGTTGCATCTGACAGGAGAAGTTTGTGTTGTACCAGCGCATGCCTTGGAGAGACTTAAGTAATGCAAAAGGTTGTCTTTTTTTTTTTTTTAATCTACTGACAAGTTGCTCTAGTAACCCAAAGAAGTGAAGGAGAAAGCAGCTGCCTCACCACCCAGATGTTGATTTGTTCAGATGTTCAATGCCTCATGATACAATAAAACCACAAAAATTTTCTTAACAGTTTGAAAAAAAAACCAAAAACATTTCTTTGGAGAAATTTGCTGCATTCTATTGTAATAGTATTCCCACCACCTAGAGGAGAAGGGAATAAAGTGCCTTTTCTCTCACTTCATGCCTCATGCTGAATCTGAGAAGCTTCAATGAAATGCCTTAGAGAGCTCGAATTGGGACACCTGCATGTTTAAGCACAAAGGATCATGCCAGATCCATTCCTAGAAAATTATAAAGGCAGAGGCTGTGGCTGGGTAGTTACTCTGATGGGATAACAAAGAGATGTGCTGCAATGGAAGTCACCTCCACTCCAACTGTTTTTCAAGTCAGAGGATCTAAGGACCACAAGTGGGCTTGAGAGAAAGCTTTGTGCCGGAAGATTTGACTGAAGCATCATAGGACATGGACAGAGAGCCTGAGGAGGGCAGAATACTAGAAGTTGAGGAGGGAGATGTAGGCAACACAGTAGAGTCATTGCCACGTCAGTTGAGCAACATTTGGGAGTCCCCAGGGTGTGTGGATAAAGACTGGGATTGTGTTTTTCCAAGGCATCTGCAAAAGAAGGCCACAAAGGAAAGATTCATCTTTGAACACAAACCAAGACTAAAGACACCAGCTCCAGATCTCTGAAGTACCAGTAAACCAGCAGGGTAAGACCTGTCCTATTCCTTCTCTATTGTTTCCTCTTCCCGATACCTATAGGGGCTGAGTGATGGGTGGTGAGAAGAAGAGGAGGAGTCCAAGATGCGGAAATAGAGAAAAAGTCAACCATGCTATCCTACTGTGAGGTCCAGCATGAAGGCTTCCAGTGCTGAGCCAAAGGACAACTTCAAATTTAAATGGATTTCTGAGTTTTGCTATTACATGTACTGAACAACTTAATTATCTGAATAAAAATGTTTTGTGCATAAGAGTGAGAGAACTTTTGAAATTCAATTATTGAGAAAAAAAGAAAATTCACTAAGTGGATGTGTGGTTTTGTAGACGTGGATTCATACCTGCTATATACATACAGTAGGCAACTGGATATGCTCTCTTGAGGCACAATTGATAACACACATCTGGAGGTATTGACTAGGAAGTCATCAGTGTACCTGTGGTGATTAAAAGCCTAGCCAGAATCAGATTGCCTTGGTAACATGTAGAGCAATAGAGAAAAAGGTTGAGGGCAAAACTGTCTGAAGAACACCAATATCAAACATGTAGAAGAAAACAGTCTCTTAAAGAACACTGGAAGCATTTTTAGAGAAGCCTGCTTTTGAAAGAGTGGCCTGTGTCTAAAGATCTAATGTGGTTGGCCTTGCATTTCAATTCATAAGGGCTAATCATCCAATGTGTCTAGGTTTCATGAAACATATTATATTAGGTTGTCGGAAAAGTCATGACGCATTTTTGCGATGAAAAACATAGAAAAAATACGTCATGACTTTTCTGACAACCCAATATATTGCTCAAATGAAATCTTTTTTTCTTCCATTGCTCACATAATTAAGCTAAAAACAATTCTTTTATATTAATTTTGATTTCAGACAGAAAGAATTTGAGTGTTGGTACGCATAAACATTGTAGTGAGCTTTTATTTATTTATTTATTTAAAACATCAGTGTTTATCACCAAAACAAGGAACAAACAAATATCAAAAAAGAGCCTTCAAAAATATACATTAGATTATGGGCAAGCTATGATTCATCACAAACAGCTGTATTACAGAGTAGCCTGAAAAGTTAGAGCTTAGTAACTTGGTAATTCTTGAGTCTTTATTAGTTTCAATTGTCTTCAAGTAACCCATAGTAATAAATTCCCTCTGGTGTGCATGCTAGTATTCTTGAGTACTTTAGAGAGATAGACTCTTATTTAGCATGAAGCTGAAGAGGCTGCCAACATTTCATGTGTCAGTCCTGGTAAAAACTGATGTTCATGTGTTTCTGTCAGTTGTCACCTGGGATGGGTTTCAGTTGCCATTGTGAATATAAAAAGCTCACTATCCCATTACTAATTCCCATGAGTTATTTAGCCCTGTCTTTCTTTTTCTAAAGGTTAAACTCTTATCTTTCTGCTAAAAAGTTAGATAATTAACATTCTCACTTACAATGCTTCCATAACATCTGTAGATTATGCACCATTAATCAAATTCCTCTGCAGGCATGATTGACTTTTGCAAAGAAACTCAGGGAATAAATCCTTTCTCTTTAGTAATAACTTTGTTGTTATTATGGTTAAAAAAATCTCTTTTTGAGAAGCTCAATTTAGAGTAATAGTCTCTAGCTACTTAAAACGGATATTAGAAAACCATATAACAGAAATATGAGTAAATTATTTTAGAATCTTTAGGAACGCTGACATCTTTTTGCATAAAAAACTTTAAAATTGTGATTTCCATAGCATTGCATATTTATAAAATAATTTGTATTGACATTTAAAATCTCCATTTTCAAATGACAGAAGCAAAAATTAACGATATACACTTTATTAGCATTTTAACTTGAATTTATAATTTACTTGTATGGGAAAGATATATAAAAAATCAGATTTTTAACATTTTAGAATTTCCGT